TAAAGTGCTCTGTTTCCTTGTATATGTGACTTGAAAGATATGAAATTTTGACATTGATGAGGCACTGGCCCCATGTAATTATGATGAATGTCTTGCAAGTACTATAATACGTTGGTCCGTAAATACTTGTTAGAGATTTGGATCTGGCTTAAAATGATAATTGCTTTAGATTGCAACAAGTTCGCTGCTTGTCTACAAGAGGGTGATTTTGTCTCTCATTTTTCTCTTTTTTAGCATTTTTGCATAAAAGCTAAATTTGTTAACTGCCTCTTGTAAAAGTATTTCTTACATATGTTTATTGAGGGTTGAAGATGTTGTTCTGAAATTTGAAAGCTTGCACATGAAATTTGAGATAACACCATCATTAGAATCATACAAGGAGCTCATTAAGTTTTGCTGTAGTTCACGTAAGGTAAGACTCAAACTATGAGTAAGGGGAATGAAAAACATTCGAAATAGTGTTATTAGCTCCTTCTAAAGGTCTTTTCTTATCAAACTTCTGTTCTCTTATCTTTTAAACAATGCTTTGAAATTGATTAATGTTTATTTATCAAATGTAGGTGCAACTGGCTCTTGATATCGTTAACCAGATTTCTCAAGACAGTTTGAACTTGTCCATAGACATGCTAAATTGCATATTGCATGCTATTGAAGAGACCATGAGTGTAATTTGGTATCGCACTTCAATTCTCCAGTTCTACAAAGCTGTTTTACCCTTATACTGTTTTGTCATTACTCTCATTGAGAATTTTATATTGTTCTTGACTGTTGACTACTATCTGAGTTTCTTATTATCTTTCTTGTCATTTTGTTTGATCTTAAGGTTTGGCGAATTTATTCAGTGATCTGTTGCCATAACCTTTAGCCAAATGCTGAGACATTTAGAAGGATGATAATTTTGAGTGTGAAATGAAAGATGTAAGCTGCTATCCAGCTCTCCTGTTTTGTAGTTCCCAGTGCTTGTGCATAGTTAATTCATTTTGCTTTTCATAATTCCTAATTTCATTTTGATGGGGGGTGTATTTTATCAAACTAATTTTATTCTGAGTTTAAGTTAAATAGAGCTTGTATTTCTTCTCATCCATTAAATGCAGTTTGATAGTGCATATGCGATGCTGAATGATTCAAGGAAAATGAACGTTAAACCTGTAGCTGGCATGTATAATGCTATAATGGCAGGATATTTTCGAGAGGTAATTTTACAGTCTAATCCTTTTGTATTTATTTTGTTTCTTCTTTTCTTTTGGAAAAGCTTTATTGCCATTTTAATTTTGAACATGCCTCATGCATGATTTATGCCACTGTTATATAATAATTTTCAGAAGAAAATTTCTGCTGGGTTGAGGGTTCTCAAGCAAATGGAACTTGACAGTGTAAAACCAGATCCCCAAACTTACAGCTATCTAATAGCCTATTGTGACAGTGAAGAGGATATTATCAAGGTAGTTTGATGCAATGTAGTAATTGCTTGAAATTTATGCCTTCCCTGTTTCTATATGTAGATAAGTTCATCTCTGCTGTCTCTTGCATTATTGCTACTTCTATTCTTGTCATGCTGCAAATGGGTTTCATGGCCACTGATACAATAATTTGATTATTTGCTTGTAGTATTATGAAGAACTGAAGTGTTCTGTGATTACAGTAACGAAGCACATATTTATGTCACTTATTAGTGCATATGAAGCTTGTGGACAGTTTTGAGAAAGCAAAACAGGTAGGACTGAAATACATCCATCTAGCACCATTTTCATGTGAAGTCCCACCAAAAGCAAGAGGAAATATACTGATTATATGGTATAGATAAATCATCTTGATGATGCAATTTCAGCCATGATTAAGTGTTGGACATGTGATATATCTATGGGATCTGACAACTTAAAAATTCTCTGCATTCTCTCTTCGTCCTTTTTTATTTCTTACATCTTTATGCATTATTTATTATATTATATCTGTGACGATCTCAGAGATACTAATTTATATGGTGGGTTCCCTTGGATGAAGGGATACCAGTTAAAAGCCTAAATGAACTCAGAAGTGCTCTCGTCTCTGCTCTTGCATCACATGGGCAAATGGCTGATGCTGTAGACACATATGAAGAAATCAAGCAATCTGGAGGTGATCTGGAGCCTAGAGCTGTCCTATCTCTGATGGTAAGTTCTGAAACGGACCTTTGTATTTGTTTTCCTGTACGGTTGTGATATCATGGTATTTTTCCTCATTTTCTCATAGGAATGTCTTCATTCCGAGAGAGACTTGAGTCTTATGCTTCAACTATTAGAGGAGTTGCATGATCAAGGCTATTGGATTGAGGGTTGCTGCAGAGTTATCTCATTTTGTGTTAGAAAAAAGCATCTGAGGTTAGCTGACAGGAAATTCTTAGTTATCTGGGATTCTGTTTACACTGCATAGTTTTCTATCCAATCCAATATTCAATTACAATGTTGTTATCTTTTTTCCAGCACTTTCCCTCCTTTTGTATGTGAATGTTGTCTAAACCATCTGTTCATTGGTAATTCATTCTTTGATCCAGTACCGCTGTTCATTTGCTCAAGCAACTCAAGGACAAGTTCTGTGATGATGAGTTGGCTGCAGAAGTTCTTTTTGATGAGGTTTGCTCTTACACTGTTTCTCTTCCTTAATGTTGTCTAATCTTCTTGCTTGATATTTGGGAACTCATTTCAGACAGTGAGACTTTTGTTTTTTCCACAGAGATCTACGAATCTATCAGTGCTTGTCGTTTTTGTTTGAATTACTAGCCTGTCCCATGTTAACAAACTGACTGCATTGACCTTAAACTCTGCGGTTTCAGGCATTTGCCATTATTGCCGAGGAAGAACCTGCTGATGTACAGTTTGGTGTGGATTTACTACAAGCCATAAAGAGTGACATAGGCATTAGCCCTTCACGGAAATGTCTTGATTTTATCCTGAATGCCTATGTTAAAGCAAAAGACCTGCAAAACTCTCTTTTGATTTGGAAAGAATACGAGATTGCTGGCCTCATAATGTTTTCAATTTCCTAAGGTAAGCAATGGTATGGCAATTGATCCCTTCATCCTGCATGTCATGCAGATCCTCTGGTTCTGATGGATTTTATTTTTATTCCGGTGTGTTGTTGCAGGATGTATCAGGCACTTTTGGCCTGTGGAGATCACAAGTCAGCAGAGGCAATGCGAACTAAAATTCCGAAAGACGATCCAGATGTACGGGATGTCATCAGAGCATTCCAAGCGACTTACCCCAAGTCAACAACACCTGCAAAGCCCAACAAGCGGCCGCAGCAGCAGGAGAACAAGTGAAACTGAAAGCAAAACACTAACTTGAACAGAATAGGATTCAACATTCTTTGTCCTAGAGAAATCCTCCAGGCATTTTTTCTAGTATTCTTCCTGTTAGGTCTAGCTCTTTATTTTTGTATTTATGTTGATGCTGCTTTTTCTCACCCTCCCTTTCTCACTAAAACGTAGTTTTTGACAACTTTGCTAAGTATGCATGAAAACCAAAAGGGGTTGTTGACGCTGTGGAGCATGGAATGATATCTTTAAACGTATCATCATGTTAAAGACTCCGTCTATACATAGTTGTATCAGTGTAAAAGGTAAAATTATACTTCTATACAATGCATGGGTGGCAAAAAAAAATTTAAAAAGGCCCAAACGTTATGACCGTTTCAGTTAAATGGTGAACAAACGGTGTCGTTAACCTAAATTGGACGGAGGGATGACATTGATATGGTCTTGAATTGTAGAGGGAGGACGTGAAGTTTATTAATCCATAGTAGAAAGTTTAAATTACATTATTTTTTATAGTAAAGGGATGCTAGTTGATATTAACCTAAAGAAATTTCATTTTTATTTCGAAAAAAGGGAAATCAATTCGTGCATCTTATTATATATGTTAGAATTTAGTACAATTCATGCTTAATTTATTAAATTTAGCATATATGCTTAAAAATAACTAGCGCATAAATCTTGAAATAAAATTTAAAAACTTATTTTCATATTAATAGTTAACATGTTTAAATTGATATTTTAAAAGTTTGAGATTTTCAATTTAAATAATTTTCTTATAATCAAATTGAATATAATAACTTATGTTTTATATTAATTAAGGTGGTTCGATAATTATACATTTATTTATTGAATGATTGATGTTTAGGTTAAAAGTTGCCACGAGATTTCCAGTTTGTTTGTGATTCCCCTAAAAAATTGACTTGAAAAAGTATAAAGGAGAAAGAAAGAGGAGCTTTAGGCAGAATTTTCCTTGTAATTTCATTTGTACTTTCTTGGAACAAAAGTGGAAAATGCAGTGCAAAATCTAGGAACTTAGCATCACCCAAATTTGGATACAAGGTTCAAAATTGGTGGGGTCTTCTAGGTCAATGTCAATGATATTCCCTAAGTCTTTTTTTAACTTTTATAATACGATTATTAATAATTAATAAATCTATAATGTAATTAAGAAATGACATGCCGAACGACCGTTTTTATTAGGTGGCATGAATTTTAAAT